AGGCCCTCCCCCTGGGGGTCGCCAGCCGGCACTGTCTGGCTGACGGCACCCTGAGGAGACCCACTCTGTGGGAGCGTACCGGCCGATGGGAGGTAACCTGCGGCAGAAGGCGGTCTCGGAGATATCCAGGTCCGATGCCATGGAGCGCTTTGAAGATGATGACCAACACCTTGAAGCGCACCCGGAAGGCCACCGGCAATTGTTGCAGAGTATTGTATACATTCTTTGGCTCACATCATTTTAATATTTCATACAGTTTAAACAAATGGAAATCCTTTGATTGCAATTACAATGTATAGGCAATATACTGTAGTCTATAAGATTTTTAAAACTTGACTTTAATTTTGTTGGTATTCTGAAGGCTAATCATGTTTCATATTTTTAGTTCTTGGCTAAATTAAGCTGTGATATTGTACTTGCCTACATGTGAGCCAATTGCATTTGACCTGTTTCTGGATAAGCATGTATAGGAATAAAGTGACAGTCAAGATAAAGCATTGGCATTCTACCATGAGAAGTTTCTCTCTAGTCTCTTTATCATTAATGTACCTAATCTCTTCCTGTAATACTTTCTACAGATGTAGTGCCATTAAAATTGTGAATATATTTCATATCATTTTATCATACCAGTGAATTTCTTGAAAATAAGTTTAAAATAGTGATAATTTTGAGAATGTTATCAAATTCTTATGAATGTTTAACAGAATGTTTAACAGAACTTCAAGCTAATTAATGTTAATTGTACAATGATTTCACTTTTAGAAATCATAGTAAACATACACATTGTTTTTCTAGCATAGAAGTTCATTGGTTAATTCCACAACCATGAATTGCTTGTATTCTTTTTTCCCTGATTCTGAAAGTATTATGGAAATATGAATGGATGGATGGCAGATAGATAGAATGTATATGTAAGAGAGCCAGTGTAGTATTGCAATTAAAACGCTAAGCTAGAAGTGAAGCAATCCAGATTGTATAGAAATTGGCTGGGTGATTTGCAGCCTGACACTCTCAGCCTTAACTTAGTAAATTGGAAACATTTATCTACTAATCCATATTGAATCAGCATGGCAGATTATGGTCCAGACATACTGACCTGGAGGAGAGACCACCGGGAAATAATCAGAGCTAAAATGGGAAGTAAAAACAAAAACACAGAATATAGGAACTGTCAGAGAACTTCCATGTTGTTGCCAAGAAAATTACATGAGAAGCTAGCAAGCTTGATGCAAAGAAGACTTTATCATATAAGAAATTTTGAAAGACATAAAGGCATGACTATTTGTATTTAACTAGTGTTGTGACTAATATACAACCAAGTTCCTGCATTTTATTTTAATAGGAGTAAGTAAGATGATGTTCTTTGACTTCTTATTTAGGTTAAATTCTTTCCCCTTCCAGTCTAGAAAGTTTATTTCCCTACTTGCATTTTAATTGTGTACCTGCTTAGTTAGTCCATATTATTCTTGTAGTAAGAGTGGCGTGGTGGCCTAGTGGTGAAGATCCTCAGTTGCTGCTTGGAAGGTTGAGAGCCTAATCAATGTTTCTGTTCTGGAGCACAAAGAAACAATATCTGCTGCGAACTCCATGTAGGCGTCAGGAAGGGCATCTGGCCTTTAAATGTTTAGCTCTATCCAGTCACCCCGATTCTACCCGAATAGGAACTACAGGGTTGTAAAAAGGGAGCTTATTCTTGTAGTAATTCTTTGAGATTGATTTCAGTATGATTACCTTAGAATTTTCTAATAAAAATCAGAATTCAAAGATTTTGTTAATGGCCAATTTGTGGTGGAATCTTCATCTAGAGTGGGGGTGGGGAGTTTAAGTCCTTGAAGAGCAGAAAGCAGCACGGGCCCTATATCCCCCAAGCCTTATCTGACCATTCCCAAGAGAATGCAGTCAGTCTGGCGAGATGCTTATACTGTAAATAGGCATTGTAGCAAAGTGTGGACCTGGTTCCTTAGAATTGACACAGTCTCAATAAAAGTAGTTTTAGTTTCCCTGTGGAGATGATTTCCTAGTTATGCTCATCTACCTAATAGTGCTGATACTGAGAAAGAAGCAGTGAGTTGGAAGTTCTTGTTCACTGTAAAACTTGTTTTAATCTGAGCTTCCTTTTACTGCTGTTATTAAAGGCAGACTCACTTGCAGAATGTGCCAAAGATTTCCACTGACTTTCTTTTGTGATATCTCATATTTCTGACTGTTCTTTGTTTTTGTTCTATAGCTAATAACATTCCAAACTAAGCAGGCATAGGTTAATCTTATTTCAACTTTGCAGTTCTATGTCAAGGATAATCAGCGTGTTTTCCTTTTATGGCCTAATTATATTTATCTTTTTGTTTTAATTTCCAGGCCTACTGAAGAGTTATGTCATTCTGATTTTATAGAAGAAAACATATTCTATTTCAGTTTGAAGGAGGATTTCATTTAATAATGTATTCAGTTCCTCGCTCCCTTTCTGGAATGGAAGGAGATAATGGACATCCTAGGAAATTTATCTCTTTCCTTTTTATTTTTGGCATTACATTGTTATGTGCTGGATTTTTGCTATCAATGTTTGTTTTGCAAACATGTCCAAGTGGAGCCTTTGGTGACTGTAAGGGAGCTTTCAAAATCATTGGGCCTCTGCTTGCAGTTGTTGGACTAGTTTGCATAATTTTGGCACAATCAAGAGCCAAAGATTATCTCAGAGATGTGCAATTGCAAGATGATCAGGTATATGGATTTGTTTTTTGTCGAGGAAATTGTCAGTTTGCTCAGTTCCTCGTCTTTGGGTTTTTATTTTTAACAAGTGGGATGCTTATTAGTGTCCTTGGCATATGGATTCCGGGATGCAGTCAAGGATGGCGCTATCAGCAGTTTAACCATAGCAATACTTCTGGTATTGAACTCCAGGACTGTGGATTTCATTCTGTTCAAACTATGGGCCCTTTAATTGTGCTTATTGGATTATGTTTCTTTGTGATAGCTCACATTAAAAAGAAACAAAACTTAAACCTCATCCAAGAATCTTCAGTCAGTGAAGAACAACTGAATTCTGAATCATTTCAAGTTACAGTAGGTAAGTAAATAAACCAGCTGGATATTTTTATCGGTTATTAGAAGCAACCCTTGATCTCATGTCCTTTCCTTCCTTCTAATATATTTTATTAGTTATTTTGTCAAACATCCTTATATATTTTATTTCCATATATATTAGGCACTATAATTTGTGATCCATTATAGGAAGATTACTGGTGATGAATCACATTTATTACCAACATAGTATGCTTTTTTTAAGAATGTAGGCAGACATAAAAAAACAGGAGCCTACTAAGTCTCTTTTGAGTTGCTTTATATTTCTGTTGGGTATGGTTTTAGGTATTGTATAGGTAATTAATATAAGTCTATTTTCTCTGTAGGATGATTAAGGTTCTATCTGTAGCCTCATTTGTACAGTTAAAAAGCTGTATAAAATCTAAGTGAGTCTGCATTTTAAATAAGGACATAATTTGGTCATAGTCATAAATAAACATTCTATATAAATATTCTTGTACGGCAGTATGTCTTGGGGGGGGATAGAACATTTTATGATTGTATTTCAATTATATTCAGTACAGGTAGTCCTCAATGTACAACTATTCCTGTAGTGACTATTACAATAGCACTGAAAAAAGTGACTTATGACTGGGTTTCGTTTAGGCTTCCCACTAACAAAGTCAATGGGGAAAGCCAGATTTGTTTAATGACCACATGAGTCACTTAACAACTGCAGTGATTTGCTTAACAATTGTGGCAAATACAGTTGTAAAATGGGGTGCAACTCATTTAACTGCCTTAGTTAGCAATGGAAATTTTGGGCTCAATTGTGGCCATAAGTCAAGGATTACTTGTACATTATAAAATATACTGTAATTATTTTGAAAAACTGAAAATAGTCTAAAGATGTAAACATTCCAGCTCATGGTTAATTTCTAGTGAAATATACTTTGGAAGCCTGACTGTCTTATTTACTGTCTTATTTACTGCTCCAAAGAGCAGTAAATCCAAAGATTTTGATTTTAAAACATCCCCTTTCTTTTACAGGAGATACTGTAATGATGTTTCCACCACCCCCACCACCTTATTTTTCTGATTGTTCACCGCAGACCATAACTCCTAGCTTGGTAACAAGTGAACTTATTTTAAATGAAAATCCTCCACCATATCACAGTATTTTTATTAATTGGTAAGAGTATTTCTGCTTTTAGTTTTAGATACTTGAATGTTTTAAAAATAAGCAACAAATGAGGCATGACTTGGAAGATTAATAATTAGACTTGCACATTTCCCCCCCCCACTGATAAAAAAAAAGCCATTAAGAGGCTTGGAATTAGGTTGGTGTAAACAGTAATTATTACTTCCTATTTTTATTATTTACTTTGAGAGCAAGCAATTAAATTTCATTTTTAATGTGTGCCATTGTGCCCACAGTAAAAAATGACAAAAAAGGTTATCTATTTATCTATCTGTCTGTCTGTCTATCTATTTCTAAATCAGCTATTAGTCATGTAACGATACAAAGATAATCCCAGTTTAGCATAGAGTAGCTACCTTCCTCTAGTATTACAACCTTGATTCTTCATAATTCTTTGTTAAGTGCACCGGCTTTCAAGTTTTTAAAATAATTGAAATATCTATTAATGGATCTCTCACATCTTGTCTGGTTTGGTCTTAATAGTATAAGCATTAGCCATGTCTGATGAAATATGTAATGTGTCTATGTCTAACATTTTTATTTTTGTTATTGTTTTTGCAGAGCATTGAGTTGTGAATAAGAAGCCTACAGAGAGAATGAGTTCCACAGTATCAGGAAACAGTTTGCCTTCTAAAACTTAATCAGTTCATTGTCATTCCTCTGAGTCATCTCAGAATTACAAAGCAAAAGAAGCAGCTGTAAATAATGAATGTGTCTTATTTCCCTTCCATAACTCAGCTAATCCATTACCATCTGCTTATCACCAACTATAAGAAATTTTCAGAGCTGAAGCAGAAAGACGGGAAGGAACAGGGATAAACAAAGACAAGAAAAGAAAGAACTACAGCAGGCATGTCAAACTCGCGACGTCACATGACGTCGCGCAACATATCGTGACTTTTTCCCCATTGCCGGCAATGGGGTGGGTACGGTTTCGGTATGATGCATCTGGCCCACGGGCCTGGCAGTTTGACATGCCTGAACTACAGGAATTCCAGGTAAAAATAAGATGAAAGGAGAATGAAAAAGGCCACACCTGCATTTCCTCAACCCATTAAAGAGAGCAGTAGGTTGTACATTAGGAATGTGCAACCTTTTTCAACTCAAAGGCTTCCTCCAGGCATAAAAAATATTTTGGGGGGTTTACAAAGAAAGTAGCCAGAACATGGATGGAGGAAATGGGCTTGTCCAGAAACAAGTGGCTATATTTATTTCCTACACAACAAAGGAAATGTTAGTGATTGTTAGTGTAAAATAGGTTGATTCCCTTACCTGTAATATACTTTGCCATCCAGGCCACTTCTACAGCAAATGTATATCTGTTAACCTGCACATCCATTTTTCTTACTGGTCCTATGGCAGGAATAGTAGCAGCAGCAGCTCAATTTCATGCAGGCTGCTTGAAATCCAGTCGATATGCTGAAAGATGCTTTGACATCTTGAGGTTTTTTTAAAAAAAAAAGGAACCAGGAAGTTGGCTGAACACCCTGCCTGAAGTAGGAAGCCAGAATGAGTTAAAAAACAAAAAAAGGACAACGGCAGTTCTACAGGCTTATTTGCTGGTGTTAGAATCCAGCAGTTCATCAGTGTTAGAAAGGTCAGGAGAGAATAAAACTATGCGGATGTTTTCATTTGCTGAGTGAGCAGGAAAGGACTTGCAAACAAATGAGTTGGAAGCTTTGCTACCATAAAAGTAGCAAAACTGCTCACTAAGCAGCCAGAAAGAGACATTACTCTATGGAAGGTCAGGAAGAAGAGGAGTACGGTGGTAGCAGAAGATGTGCATTGTGGTGCTTCTTGGAGAGATTGGTATTTCATGGGCTTGGCCACAGTAGAGAATTAGGAAATGAGGGAACATATTGTGACTTCTTGGTTCACTGTGTTGTGCTGTGCTTCAAACGTCTGGCCTTCTGCAAAGAGAGGGCACAGAAAAAGGACAGCAAAGAAGTATGGACCTTTGGCAATCCTTATTATAAAGTATAGACAGTGCTGGGATATGCTAGTCAACATTCAACAGCGACTCTTGTTAGCTCTGAGAGTCTCGGAGTAGATGGCCCACTCTTCATGAGCCACAGGCCACACACTTTCATTTCAGACGTCAAACCATAAGGCAGTGATGGCGAACCTTTTAGAGACCGAGTGCCCAAACTGCAACCCAAAACCCACTTACGCATCGTCGGGTGCCGGGTGGATGTGGCTCATTAGGTGGGTGTGGCCCATTGGGTGGGCGTGGCTGCAGTGGTAACAGCAGACTGGGTGGGACTAAAGTTCAATCAATTCCAACTTTGCAAGATCTTTTTTTTTCCCGCGAGAAGTTGAAATTGACTGATTGAACCTTTTTTTTTGTACACAGTGGCGGAGGCCTAAAGCGAAAAGGTTTTATAAAACCCAGCTGAAGGCCTAGGACTGGGGCGACAGCACGCATGCCCACAGAGAGGGTTCTGAGTGCCGCCTCTGGCACCCATGCCATAGGTTCGCCACCACTGCCATAAGGGAAGCTTCAGCAGAAACCAGGACAGAACGCCTTAAACTGGTAAACTTCCTATTTCTAAAGAGGTATTCAACAAGGGAACCATCATAAACGCCCCTGCATGAAGTTTAAATACCCAGAGCAAATCAACTACTATCTTAACAAGTGTTAGGATCAACTTAGACTAGAATAAATTCTGAAGAGTTTATATGTCCTTTTCCTCTTTTTTCCCTGCTGTAAAGGCTCAGAAGACATAAGATACTGAAGGTATTTGTAAGTGTGACAATTTATTAAATATCACAATGCAAAATAGCACATAGTGTCTTAAATATTTGGTGCCTCAAATGACACATTTCATCTTGCAGAATTAAGGGCCTCAGAGTAGTCATGAGGAATAATTATGAAAGAAACCATAATGTGGAGATTAAGGAGTTGGACCAGGAGCGGGGAGATTCAAATTCAAGTGCGTTCTGTTCATCCATGGAAGTTCTTTTCGTTTAATTGAATTACTGACTGTGTCAGTTACCAAACCAACTCTAGGCAATGTACAATGATGCAAATATATTTTAAAAAAAATCTAACAAAAAAGATAAATCAGGAAACCAACAGTGAGCAACAGTTCAATGTTCAAACATATGTCACAAGTGCAGTCACAAAACTCCTTGCCCCAGAGTCTGCTTTCTTATAACACAGGGGTAGTCAACCTTGGCTGTTTTATGACTCGTGGACTTCAACTCCCAGAATTCCTGAGCCAGCTAAGCTGGCTCAGGAATTCTGGGAGTTGAAGTCCACGAATCATAAAACAGCCAAGGTTGACTACCCCTGCTATAACACCACATGCAGATTTCGGAAGCTATTCTAAAAGGTAAGAACAGCTCCAGGATACCGTGAGATGATATTGCTTTGCCAAAAGGACCTGGAGCATGCCAATCCTACCAGATCTTACCGGACAGGGAAAAATGGTGGGGAAAAAGTGGTACCTTCCAGGTCTCGACCCATGAATGGCTTTATAGTGAAAACTAGCAACTTGAATTATATGTGGAAACTAATCAGTAAAGTGCATCTGGAGGGCAGTTTGGGCCATTTACTCATTCCAAGCTCAATGCAGTGTATCTATGATGGAGAAAAAAATAGGTATTGTACTATGCTTAGATATCGGTGCATACCAAATAAAAACAGTATTATTGAATACGTGTGTGTACTCCCCCCATCTCTTTTGGGCAAAGTTTGACAAAATAAGCATAAAAGGAGACAGTACTAGATTCAGTATTTGTCTTAACGCACATTTGATGCCAATCACTTAGCCTGTATTAGTTAGTCTCTAAAGGTAATCTCACAAGCATTCCAATAGAAGTTAAATGATACAAGACAAGATGCACATTTATATAATTACTGTCATTTCAATGAAGATCAAGCTCCTGTTTTTCTTTTCCTGCTTGCATATGGATTGTGTTTAGCATAAATCCAGTGAAAATGCTTCTCATCTACTTAACCTAAAGCATTTCTCTAATAGGACTCTGCCAGGTCTGTATTTCCAAGGAGGTGGTTGAGTTCAGCTGATGAACAAGTTTATTTCTGGCTTCATTGCACTGTAATGCATTATAAAAAAGGAAGGAAAAGAGCAGCATATGCAGAGGAGGTCAAAACAAACAAGATGCCACTTGTAGTCTCTTTTGCATGTGTGTCAATACTGCATGCATTATGAAAGAGTAAGACTTTAATTGCAGTTAGATGCCACCTTGCCTGTTTTGACGTCTTCTGGCTAATGCTGCTGGACAGAAAGTCTTTATTTTTGAAAGGTGACTATATATACTTGGTAGATTAACTTTTCTAATTGGAAAAAAACTCTTGTTCTGCTTCCAGACTCCTAAGCCTCAAATCCTCCTCCAGGACTTTCAAGATTGCCTTGGCATTGGGGTCAGCAGAAGTGATATTAGGAGTGGATCTGTGCAATGATCTCGCGTTGAAAAGAAAAGCATGTTTCAGAGCTCATATCAGGAACATCTTTAAGGAATTGCTAGTGGGGCATAATGCAAGTGCCCCATGTGTTCCATCCTATTCCCAAATTTTCCCTGAAGTTTAGGACTAGCATGTCTTGGTTGCAAACTCTAATCAAAGAGTAGATAAACCAAACATTAGGGTTAGCTTTCTGTGTCTAGTGGTCATCTGGATTTTTGCAATGAATTCTAGATCATGCACTTTAAAAGTTATGCATCTTCTTTGTAGTCCCCCTCTTTAATCATCTTTAGAACCTATGGCCATTAGGAGTTAAGCGTTAGGAACATGTTTTCAAAATTGTTAGAACACACGATGATATCCTTAAAACGGTATTTTTAAATAGAAGGGATAATGATTGACTTTAGTAGCCATGCAGCTTTATGCTGTTACACATGCTCAGATTTACTTGTTTTCCCTTTGGAAGCAGGCAAATGCAGCCTTTAGTGAAAATATGGATTGGCATTAATAATTTATTTCCCTTCATGGAGCAGAGATAAAGGCATTGGGGCCACTGATTAAATGGTTCTTGCAAAAAGTGGTTGGTTTTATTTTTGAATTTGAATTGTTTTGAATTTGAAAACATTGATTTTTCAATGCTTGTGTTATCCAAGAGTTCTCCATATTCCAAGGTTGAAAACATCCCAATAAACCAATTTCAGACTGCTTTGTAGGGTTTGGGGAGTGGACATGGCATGATGCTGAAATGTTCTTTGGAAAACAATTATTCCTATTCACCATTACAGTAAAAGTCCTGAATCTAATGCTTATGAATGCTTTCTGTGCATACACTACACACAAACAACAAAATTTTAGTCTTTCTTTGCTCCCCTTCTTGAATCTTCAGAGTCACAAAATGCTTTTACAAAATGCTTATTACAATATGTCATAAGTATTACTGTATATCTGAGAGCAGGTTTAGAAGAAAATAATTTTTTGCCCTCTAAGACAATGTTTTTCATTCTACTACATTAATTTAGGTAAAGATGTTCTTTTAACATGAGCTTTGAAATTGATTTTGTTTTTTGCATAATCATTAGGCCTAGTTTTACTCATGCTGACTTAGCTACTTTGCTCCATCTAAAAGCTTTTAAGGAGTATAAAATGTTAGAAAAGGTTTGGCATTCACTATAAATGCACACTGTAAATTGAAATTGACTTGTGTTTAGGTAAGTTACGGAAATATTGCTGCTGGTAATACTGTATTGAATATAGAGCACAGCTTGTTGTACTCTGAAGGATGGAATCATATGCACTTTCCACACCATGTTTTTGCTCAAGCACTTGAAGTCAGCCAATAAGTGGCACAAGTCTTCAAGACCATAATAATTATCTTCCACAAATGTATCCAGTCCC